CCTAAAGATCTGTAACCCGTTTCCGTTAATAAAACCCGTTTGCTTTTCAAATTTTCCCATTAACTTTTGGATTAAGTTAATTAAATTGAGGCTTCATGAGTGTCCAAACACGTGAAACACCCTCGATATTCTTTTTAAAAGTTTCTAATTCACAGCCACATCGGGTTACGACAAGTTAATCGGGTACGACCATAAGCCCTGTTTAATGTCAGTATCGAGTAGATTTCCACTAGGCCTCAAACTCAAACCCTATGTAAGGGTGAGTGGACTTCATTTGAAGCTCTTTCACTCTCTCTCACTACTCTCTCTCTACAATCCAAATTTTGATCCAAAATCACCCATTTCAAGCTCCAAATTGGTAAGTAATCCATCCTAGCTTATAGATTAGCTTGTTTAGCATAAAAATTCGTGTCAAAATCATCCAAAAGTACCAAAGGCATGTGTTTATGGCCCAGGAACAACCCTAAACCGCAAACACCCATAAATGGGGTTTTGAAGCCCCAAAGCCCTTCCAAAACACTTCTAGTGCTTACCTATGACTTAGGGACTTACATGTACGAACTTAGAACACCAAGAACTTGATATTTGGGGAGTAAACTGTTGGGTTTTGAGCAATGTAACACTTCCTAAGTGTGCATGCAACCCTAATAAACCTTGGATCTATGTTTGTCTAAATACATGCAAAATAATAATTTTCCAAGGTTTATAACCTATCTAACATGGCATGGGGAACATTTCAACATAAAAGAGTTAGAAGAGATTACATACCTTTTGGTGAGTTTGGTTCTAAGGAGTTTGAGGGCCAAGCACCAATAGTGTGAATGCCTCAAATGGAATCACAAATACCACAAACTCTTGGAAAACTTTGAGAGAGTATACAGCTTGTATAAAATCGGCCACACACATGCACACACACACTAGTTCACTAGTTTTTTCTTAGGCTCCATTTCATGCTCCATAAGCATGCTTATATAGTGTGCATGGTTAGGGTGAAACCCTAATAACCAATGTCTTTTCCTTTTCCAAGGATCCATGGGTTAAAAGCTCCATGGATCATCCATGGACTTCCACATAAGCCTAGCCCATTAACAAATGAGTATTAGCCCACACTATATAAAACAAATAGCCCATAATTTAATTAGTATTCCTTTTAATCTCTAAATTAATTCATAATTAATTTAAGACTAAAACTAATTAAATAATGTAACTTCATATTAATATATTATTACTCATAATATATTAATAAACATATGTGTATAACTCTCATAAAATTATCCATAATAGTTTGGATGAGATGCAACCCAAATGGACTATGCTGGTCGGGTCAAGTATATACCAAATAAGTTATGGACTTAGTCACCTTATCCAACAGACTCCCACTTGGATAAGTCTAATAACTATATTTGCCTATAACTTCAGGAACCAACCAACAATCGTAGCTCTCGAAAACTCCCTCGAACAATGAAGACTCTGTCGAACTATGAAGCGCCATTTTAGATAAGTGATCACATAATCCTCTGTTCTCATGATATCAGCCGGACAAACACATGGAACTATGTCTTGCTTATTGTCTAGCAGTTGTTTCTCGATTTTCCGATTTGTTTGACGAAGAACTTCACTGAACACATCGGTTTAGTTCTGACCAGGCCTGGTACATGGGTCAACCCAAAATCATCGAGGGGCCCAGATATCGCTTCTATTTCTAGAAGGAACAGATAAACTTCAACTGATATGCTTGTTCTACTACTTATTGAATTGTACACAAAGGCACGTTTTATAACATCAAGTTACTGATGCATTTACGTGCAATCAATGCACAACCAACTCATAGGTAACAACTCATATCTCTAGGTTTAAAGATTTATATGATGTTATGTGTTGGTTGTGCATTGATTGCACGTAAATGCATGAGACGATAACATCATATAAATCTTTAAACCTAGAGATATGAGTTGTTACCTATGAGTTGGTTGTGCATTGATTGCACGTAAACGCATCAGTAACTTGATGTTATAAAACATGCCTTTGTGTACAATTCAATAAGTAGTAGAACAAGCATATCAGTCGAAGTTTATATGTTCCTTCCAGAAATAGAAGTGATATCTAGGCCCCTCGATGATTTTGTGATGACCCATGTACCAGGCCTGGTCAGAACTAAACCAATGTGTTCAGTGAAGTTCTTCGTCAAACAAATCGGAAAATCGAGAAACAACTGCTAGACAATAAGCAAGACATAGTTCCATGTGTTTGTCCGGCTGATATCATGAGAACAGAGGATTATGTGATCACTTATCTAAAATGGCGCTTCATAGTTCGACAGAGTCTTCATTGTTCGAGGGAGTTTTCGAGAGCTACGATTGTTGGTTGGTTCCTGAAGTTATAGGCAAATATAGTTATTAGACTTATCCAAGTGGGAGTCTGTTGGATAAGGTGTCTAAGTCCATAACTTATTTGGTATATACTTGACCCGACCGGCATGGTCCATTTGGGTTGCATCTCATCCAAACTATTATGGATAATTTTATGAGAGTTATACACATATGTTTATTAATATATTATGAGTTATAATATATTAATATGAAGTTACGTTATTTAATTAGTTTTAGTCTTAAATTAATTATGAATTAATTTAGAGATTAAAAGGAATACTAATTAAATTATGGGCTATTTGTTTTATATAGTGTGGGCTAATACTCATTTGTTAATGGGCTAGGCTTATGTGGAAGTCCATGGATGATCCATGGAGCTTTTAACCCATGGATCCTTGGAAAAGGAAAAGACATGGGTTATTAGGGTTTCACCCTAACCATGCACACTATATAAGCATGCTTATGGAGCATGAAATGAAGCCTAAAAGAGAAAACTAGTGAACTAGTGTGTGTGTGCATGTGTGTGGCCAAAAATACAAGAGTGTGTATACTCTCTCAAAGTTTTCCAAGAGTTTGTGGTGTTTGTGATTCCATTTGAGGCATTCACACTATTGGTGCTTGGCCCTCAAACTCCTAAGAACCCAACTCACCAAAAGGTATGTAATCTCTTCTAACTCTTTTATGTTGAAATGTTCCCCATGCCATGTTAGATAGGTTATAAACCTTGGAAAATTATTATTTTGCATGTATTTAGACAAACATAGATCCAAGGTTTATTAGGGTTGCATGCACACTTAGGAAGTGTTAGATTGCTCAAAACCCAACATAAACATGTATAACTTTGTTTTCAATCAAATGTAAATACTTCTATGTAATGTAATGGTAGTGTTTACTATGCTTACTATGTACATTGGTTGTGATACTTTACATGACATCCTCCGCCTTGGAACGTTTCCGCCATCGGTTTCGGGGTGTGACACAACCCTAATAACCTTGGATCTATGTTTGTCTAATTATCATGCAAAGTTGAATTCCAAGGTTATATTCCTATCTAGCATACATGGGGAACAATATTTAATTTTAATGGAAGATAGAATAACTTACCTTGTTGTTGCTTGTGATCCTTGAAACCTTGTGAGCCTAGCAACCCAAGTGTAATGCCTCAAATGCTTCACACAACACCAAATGCAAAGGAATAAACTTTTGAGAGAATCTTACACTTGCAAAAATCGGCCTAGCCCTCACTTGTTCATGTGTAGCCGATTTTGGTGGAGAATACGATCCTTATATATGACTCTTCATTTCCATGACACATGGGTTTGTAACTCCCATGGAGCATCCATGGAGCATCCTATGGGTGGAACCCAACTTGATAATCCATGGAGCCTCTTAGCCCACTATACAAGTATGGATAATTTACATAATCAACCCATATATTTAATTAGTTATCTTTTGATGACTTAATTAATTCTAAATTAATTCTTGATCAAACTACTTAAATAATATTATTAATATATTAGAAAATATAATATATTAATAAACCACAAGTGTTATTTCTCTCATTTAGTCTATCCAATTGCATGGTGTCATGCAACCTAAATGGACCATGCCGGGTCGGGTCAAGTACATACCAGAAATAGTTATAGACTTAGACACCTTATCCAAAAGTCTCCCACTTAGATAAGTTTAATAACTATAACTGGATGTATGACTTCAGAAACCGTTAAGAAATCGTAGCTCTTTCAAGGTTTCTCGAAACTGAGAAGATGATGACACGCTGTTTAAGATAAGTGATCATATAATCCTCTGTTCGAGATATTAGCCAGACAAATACATGGAATAATGTCTTACTTATTGTCCAACAGTTTGTTTCCCGAATTCTGATTTGTTTGACAAAGAACTTAATTGAACACATCAACTTAGTTCTGATCGGGCCCAATACATAGGTCAAAACAAAATCATCGAGGGTCCCAGATATCAGCTTCTATACCAAGAAGGAACAGATAAACTTCGACTCATATGGTTGTTATACCACTAATTGAATTATACACAAAATCATGTTTTATAACATCGAGTTACTAATGCATTTACATACAATCAATGCATAACCAACTCGTAAGTAACAAATCATATCTCTAGGTTTGAAGACTTATATGATATTACCGTCTCACGATCACTCGAGATAAATTCCATGAAGTGATTCCAGTGAGCGTGGGTTGTGTCCAATGCTCAAAACTTATGAGCACTCATGATTGTTGTAGCCATGTCCAACACCTTAGACCTCTGCAACCAATCATGATAGTCTTGATTCATACCTACTTCCGACATATGACCGACTGTGGAGGTTTGAATAATATGTTATACCAAACAAAATTATTCTGGAAGTGAAAACATGCAAAAGAAATATACTAAACGATTGACAAGAGATAGCAACACTTTACTCATAAATAAAACACCTTTTATTCATCATCTAATGTCAATTGCACTTTACAAATTTGTCGAGCAGGATGATAAAGTTCACAACGAGGATGAAATCATTTACAACGAAGAAGAGACAACAATACTGAGGTAACTCAACCTTTTAAGTATTCAGTTCCTTCTCCTCCTCCTTAACCTAAAACTACGTCTATCATGATTACTATTGCACTATGCGCTCCACCTGTCTCTTCACAACAACAAACTACCATTCCTCTTTCAACCCCAATGTTCACTGATTCTACTATCCCACCCACTACCTCAATCATACCTCCTTTTTCTGTCAATGTATCTGATACGGGGGCTAGAACTTCAGGTCTCTTTACCCATGTTTCACCTCCAATTTCCGCTCTTAACTGATATGACCCAGATATGATCTTTGGTGATGATGAAGATGAAGATCTTGGGGGGGAGGGGGTCACTTATAGTCCTTTCCAAATATGGACTGAGAGTGAAGATGAGGTATCTATTACAAAAGGGAAACTTCAATCTCTTCATGAAAAGATTGACCAACTGATTCTCTCTACCAAAGCTTCATCTTTTGATTCATATGCTAAATCAACGGTTGGGACTCACTTTGAATCAATAAGGAGAATTCAACTAATGTTGAAAACATGAATAAGGCAGTTGTTGATTCTGCTGACGTTTGCAAGGCTATGACCGAAAAAGTCAATAAACTAATTTCTGACACTTCTACGTTCATGGAGAACTTCCAAAACACCTTCAACTCAAATACCACTACTGCTAATGAAGCTATAAAGAGTCTAGGTTCTCTATTGAAAACTGAGAAGACGAAATTGCAAGAGATTCGTATTGGTCTAAAAACTGATCATGAAACATTTCAGACCTCCATCTCCTCACAATTTTCCAAGCTTCAAGATGAACTGGAAAAGGAGAGAAACATCAAGGACTCTTTTGCACTCAAGACAAGAGAAGTAAAGGTGTTACGTGCGAAACTGGAAGCTTCAGAAAAATAGGTCAATGATTTGTTATCTGAGAGGGTTGTTATCTGAAGCTGTATTACAGATGATACAAGCTTGCTCTTGGATATCCTTAAGACCAGGGACTCAATGCTCACCATTACAGTATGCAAGCATTTTCTTGAGAAAGTGAGACCTATCTTTTCCATGCTTCACAGGCTGGAGGGTGTTCCGGAATCTGGCTTCATTCCAAAACAAGGGGGAGAAGGTGCTTCAACAAAAGAAGAACCCAAAGCTCCAGTTAAACACAAAGCTCCAGTTCAACCAGTTATCAAGCTAGAACCTAAGGGAAAGGAAAACATGTTCAATAAGGAGCCTATTATAGATGATGGAGAAGAAGAGAAGCCTGATGAGGAAGAACTGAAAAGGCAAAAGGCTCATGAAGCCGAAATGGATGAGCACCAACGAATCATCCGAGAGGCTGGCTCAAGGCACTCTTCCAAGCAAGAAGTTGTTGTTTCCCAAGTGGACCATGAATCGAATCCATAATGATGTTGTTGATTTACCCAGCTAGTATTGGTTAGAGCCAATTATGTCGTTTGATCTTCAAAACACACAGGATTCCCAATTGGATCTACCAATTACTCCAAAGGCTTTCAGGTTTCATACTTTTGTGAAAGTTCCGAATGTTCCACTCACAGATAGCGGGGTTGATCAAATGTTGTTCTTTTTTATCTTAAGAATATGAAGTCGCAATACGAAACATGGTCCTTAGGCAATATAACTGGTGTGAAAGTCACATGAACAATTGAGACTGACAGCTTTCCGAACGCGAAGTTCAAAGTGGCATGAGGTTCAACCAGTCAGTGCTACAAGTTCACTCTCGCAGACTTACCTTGTCGTAACCCCAATGATTCATTCATTCTTTACAATATGTTGCTGACAGACAGAAAAATACGAACCATTCATGTCTCATCTCCAAATTATGATCAAGTCTTACATTCAAGAGATTTGGAATATGGACGTAGAGGACGTTGTAGTGTTATTTAGGAAGCCTTCTGTCGTTCATAAGGAATCTCTAAAAGACTTTGAAAAGATGAAGTTGGGGAAGATTTACAATAAAGAATTGTATGTGGTGTATCAAGCTAAGGAACGAACTGGTGCAGACTTTCGCAGGGGATGCTTCTTCCTTTCGGACAAGCATTTGTACACTACATCCTTTCTTGAGCATATACTGGACTTAGTGAATTGGCTCAAGGACAAGAATAAGGATGGCATCAAGTGCTTCACTGATATGATTTTATGGTACATGCAAATTTGACAGACAATTTTTTGCATTATTCACAAAGTTTACGAAGTTTAGAAGCGAATTCAAGGCTAATGAGTTTGCGGCCTCAATTGACGTAAAGGGGGAGATTGTCGAGTATTAGATGTTGCGTCATTAGGCTTTTAGTTTAGTCTTTTGTATTAATGAGTTAGGCTTTTCCACTAGTATTTATTTCTAGTGTTAGAGTATTTAAGATGAATGCATGCATCGTATTTTTGTTAACTCTAATAATCAAGCAGTAACCCTAATCATACCTCTACAGTAGTAATTCTTCATCGAGTTCTTCTGATGCACAACTTTTAATCATTCGACATTCTTTAAATCATATTTGTATTCTTGTTCACTTATTTTGAATCTTAAAGATCTTTGAGGATATTAATCCTAACAAATATTGTCTCTTGTCCAATACTAAAAACGATAAGAACCATACGAAAAGGTACTTGCAACATTAAGTGCATCACACACACAAAATATTTCTAAACATAAATTCTATCTTGGATTGGTCTTGACTACGGAATGATAAACGTGTCTGAATACTTGTATGTTGGGAAGTGTCCATCATGGATTGCATAAGGATCACTTCATGTTCCAACAATAGCTAAAGCACCTTACCAAGTGTGAGCTCTAGGTGCAAAAAAGTCTAGTTTCTAGGTCATATCGTGAAATAGAATAGGTATAATGCTTGATCTGGGTACAATATTGTCCGCAAAGCAGTCTCAGGTACCAAAGACTCCCACCAAGGTCTGAAATATTCTCAGGTTGGCTAGGTATTATCGTCTATTCATACTGTACTTCTCCAAGAATGTATTCCCTTTAACCTGTCTAACAAAAGTAGTAATAAACTTTTAGTTTGGGGGTCAAGCAGCAAGGAACCATGGAGGGCCTACAGAGATGATTATCTAAGGCTCCAACGATGAATCTACTAAGGGTGTAGAAGGCTTGGTGGTTTATTGTGATGCATTGATCTAAAAGTTAGGTGTGGTTTTAAGGCAGTGTGGCTAGGGCATTGCATACGCCTCAAGACTATTGGAGCAATGTGAGCCTACGAAGATGACTTGAGATTGTGAAAGGGTACGACTACGAGATTCGTGACCATATGAATAATACTAATGTGATGGTCGATATGTTGAGTTCGAAGGTGACACGACTATCACTTCGAAGGATATATCATAGGATTATGGTGGTTACGTTTTTTGAATACGTTTCGGAGATGAATCACATCATATGTATCGATGAAGGGGATTCGGTAAGCTCATAAGGAAACAGTTGACTATGAATTTGTACATGGTCGGAGTAAAATTGCATTCGAATAATTGATTTAGATCTACTCTGTTCTTAGGATACTTTTCGGTCGGATTAATTATTTGACCGACTATCTTATTGTTGATTTTTTATGGCGATATATAGGGTCTCTAAGGAATTAGGAAAACATAAGTCTACGGTGAGCTGTAGCAGAGAACTGGTGATTAGGTGGGGTATGAGACTACCAATGTGAGATACTTTACCATATGGGTAAGGCAACTATAGTGACTGGCGTTTTGAGTTGAGTGATAACTAATGTAACCCATCGGGGAATTACTAGGAATTAATGCATTTTATACTCACTTATTTGCACAACAAATCACTAAATAAACCTTATGTACACATGTAAAATTAGGATCTAGGTTTTACTATTATATCACTCTACTTTAAAACATGAATGGAAAAAGTAAGCTTTTCAATTTTCTTGAGATATTGTCACAACGACTTTGCCTGCATGATGATGACCAAAACTAAGAATCCCTCCAGTGAAACAACACCCAAACTAGCAACCAGCAAAAAGTAACTTTGAGAAAGAAAACAATTTATTCGAAAATCCTATAACCTTTTAGAAGGGTTATAATTTTTGTTTATATAGAGACAGAGAGAGGGGAAACCTAGACAAAAATGAGAGAGGCATGAATATCAGGGTTTGACCCCGAAAATTTTATGTATAGTCTCCAGTTTAATTCAAATTTCCAAGGATAATCATTATCCTTATTCAAATCATTCCATATCCTTTTATCCCTAGGATAAATTCGATTCCTTTAGTATTCTTGAATGTTTTTGCAATATTACAATTAATTACTAATGAATTAATTAATTTTTCAACTTATTTAACTAAAAAAACTATTTTATTAATTCCAAAATAATTTCCAATTAATTTATTAATTCATAATACATTAAAAACATTATTTTCTTGTAATTCCTTATTACTTAATTGGATCATGAGGGAAACTCAAAAAGGACCAAATGATTATTAGAAATATTATTAATTAATTAATGACCTTGGACATTATTTCCAACAGTCACCCACCTGGACAAGTCATCAACTATATGAGATTCAATAATTCTTGAATAATCATCATAGAGTATGTCATATAATGTAACTGTCGAACTCTAATCTAATCAAGATTTAGTCCTTAGATAATTGATAAGTTCTTCCTTTGTTTTGGATATGTGTATGATCCTGAGACATGGATAAGGATTAATCTCAATGTTCATGATTATGTTTTTCAATAAAAATTTCTGACAACTACAGCCGACTACTAAATTGAACACGTAAATTTCAGTCAAGACATGCTCAGACACATTAGATGTTAGCATCACATCATCGACAGACCCATAGACATCATTTCGCCTCTTACTAAAAAAGGAAACAAAAATCAACTTTTACTACATAGATTTTTTCTTCTGATCGTATCATACATGGACATACATTTTATGGATTGCATTTGACTAGACCAATGAACAATTAATTCGCAAAGCAAAACCCCACTTGCATTTTTGTTTGAAGAATAAGAAATATTATCATCTTAGAACTACTCGTTACTTGATCCATGAAGTAATCTATAAGTGTAATTTGTTCCAATAATTAAATCCTTAGTGTGATTACAAGAATCAATACGCAATGACTAGGTTTGAAAACCCAAACCTTGATTCAATCTTAAGATCAATGTCTTCTTTTAATTAATGGTTCCATTCGAATCCGGTAATTCCAGTCAAGACTTGAAAGAAATATTCAACAAAGTGTTCAAGTAATAAATGAAGAGAATATTTAGCATATAATAATGCAAAGATATTTTAAAGAACAAGAAAAACATTATGAAAGAACTTTGACTTGAAGGAAAAGTGAAAGTGATGTAAAGAGAATAAATACCATCATTTTTAGTTAAATGTGAGATGTTGTGATTGTTATAAAATGAAGAGACAATCAATTCTTTTATAATCAAAGGAGGTACACATTACAAACCCAGAAATATTGTTAGGAATGGAAAATACACGGTGTTTGACAAACTGTTATCCAAAATTGTTTGAACATTAATTATTTGAACATACAACTAATCAAAGGAGGTACACATTACTTAATTTCCAAAACCATTTGTCTGAAAACATCATAGAATCAACTCAAATCAAAACCAATGTATCCATAGTCAAAACATGTCATGATAAAACAATATCATAGTATAAATCCCCAAGATCTCTTGTGCGTAAAATGTAGTGTCATACGCTGCAATAATGCCGACTCCATTCCCTTCAAAGATGAAGTACCTGAAACCAAAACTAAAAAGCGTATGCACAAAGATTAGTGAGTTCCCCCATCATACCACATAATCACATACTGCCAGCGATATCTGGGTGCCCAGCCTACCCTGTCAGGCATATCTGGGTGCCCGACCTACCCTATTAAGCATATATGGGTGCTCGACCTACCTTGGCAAACATATTTGGGTGCTTGACCTACCCTGCCAGGTATATCTAGATGCTCGACCTACCCTCCAGTTTATCTCAACCGGCTACAGGGACTATTTCACTCCTACCACTACCACATAATACATGGCATAAGCATACTGTCAAGCATATTTGGGTGCTCGACCTACCCTCCGGTTTATCTTAACTGGGTATAGGGTCTAACCTACCCCTCCTACCACTATTACATAATATCATAGCTTACTACAGATAAAGCATAACAGATCATGGCATGCCAGACAGTTATCACAAAGACAATCATCTCAACTATAATCAACTAGTATTGGGTAGGCATTGGTGCCTTCGACCCACTCCTATTGGAACGTAACTCACCTCAAATGTTGTGAAGTAGTTAAACTGTCCTCGTCTCTAAAGTCAACCTCACTCAAACTCCTACACATATAAGATTTATTTAATTACCCTTTCATACTCATACTCGTTTAAGGTTCAACAT